CAAAAATGATTAGGGGTATGGAATGGCTTCCATATAGGAGCGATTAATAAGACTGGGACTTTTCAGCTTGGAAAAGAGACAACTTGGGGGGCATAATCGAGGTCTATAAAATCATGACTGGTGTGGAGAAAGTAAATAAGGAAGTGTTATTTACTCCTCCTCATAACATATGGTACCAGTGGCCACCAAATGAAATTAAAAGGCAGCAGGTTTAAAACAAACAAAAGGAAGTATTTCACACAACATACAGTCAACCTGTGGAACTCCTTGACAGAGGATGTTGTGAAGGCAAAGACTATAACAGGGTTCAAAAAAGAACTAGATTGGTCACTGTAGGAAGACTGGATACTGGGCTAGATGGACCATTGGTCTGACCCAGTATGGCTGTTATGTTCAGGAGTCACTACGCCCAGGAAGACATCAATAAGCTGAAGGAATCTGTGTTAATATTGTCTGGGAACAACACAGCAACCAGATCAATTTTACTCATGGTAACATAACCTTTATTTGGTTCAAGCACAACAATGTAGAAGTGGGGACGGGGATTAAGTATGGCTTTTGCTTCCACTCTGAAGTCTGGTAAATACTTATTAGAAAAGAGTAGGAAATCAGCTATGTTAATAAGTGTTTGTACACTTCTGGCTTTAGTACTACGTGACTAATGGCAAGTCTCAATTACAAAATTAAGTCAACCTAAGTTACGCCAACTTACAGCCACTGCAGTAATTAAACTACTTTTGCATGTCCATGCTACACACCTTTTGTCGGAAGTGTGTGTTCTCACCAGGAGCACTTGCACCGATTTAACTGTCAGTGTGGGGCATTGTGGGCCGGCTTCTGAAAGGCAGCAACAGCTGATGTAAGTCACGCAGTGTTAGGTGTCTGCATGGACCTAACTACATTGACTTAGCACTACGCCTCTCTGAGGTGGAGTTATTACGTTGGTGTAGTGGGCAAGTTACAGTGGTGGGAGCTGCATTTTAGTAGAGACATTTAGAGTTAGGTCGATGTAAGCTGTAAGTGGGGAGAGGCACTCTGTATCCACTCTGTATCCATTCACTGAGGAGATGTTTTATTGAGTGGGGCAGGGGTGCTGGAACAATATGTATGGTTGGGGGGCCGAAAGCCATTCAACCAAACTGTAAACCTTGTATGTGATGGAAACCACTTTAAACCAGGTGGTGTGGCACCCACCCCTCCAGTTCTAGCACCTCTGAGCGGGGGTGTTTTTCATGAAAGATTAGATCTTGCTTTCTGTAAAGTCAGTTAGCTCTCCATCAGACTGAACTTTGGGAGAAAACATACTTTCATAGATAATAAAGGTAACTATAAGTGTAGGCTCTTGGTTACAATATAAACCATGAACATCTGTTTCTATAACTCTCTTGCTTCTAGTGGAATCTTTCTTAAATAAACCTTCTTTTGGTTTATTATAAGTGCTCACAAGTGTTGTTTTATCGGGGCTGGATATCACAGGCGAATGCTTCAAGGGGACTTGAGGATGGGGGTACACCTATTGTTAACCACCAAGGTAAAGTCAGGGCTGGCATAACCCAGAAGAGTGTTTGAGTGGCTAACAGACTGGTGGTGTTAGTGAACCAACACCCAGTTACCACAAACAGGATGCCCTCATATATAGCAGAAGCCTTTGTTCATAAGTGAAATAAGGCATAGGTTCTTTGATGTAGTTTCAGCAAGCTTTCACTTCCTCCACCCACAGAGGAAAAAAATAGTCTGTTTAGTTCTTTACTTGATAGTTTGTCACATCAGAGAAGCAGCTCCAGCATTCATGCTGCCTCTTGGAATAAAGAGTAAGTGATTTAAGAAGACAGCATAAGACTCTTGGAGCTACCTTGCCTGACATTAAAAGATTATCAGGTAAAGAACTGAAAAAATCAGTTTATTCTTCCCTGATGAAGGGATTCAAATGACACCTATAGAAGCTAATATCCTATTTCATTACAGAACTGTACACAAAATTGATACTTGTACTATTGTTGAATACATTCCTGTTTTTATGTTAGCTAGATGTCCATTCTGGCTTCTCAAGTCCTAATTGCATTAGGGACCTTGCTAATTAGAATTTAAGCTTCTGAAGGCTGTTCCGTTTTTGCTGAATGTTTAGATTCTGACAGGAACACATTTCCAATATGGTTCAACAGTTCAGTACACTGCAGGGGTCATTCAAGCAGAACCATGAACAGCAAATACAAATACCTTATTATAGTCTTCATTTGCTTTCCTATTTTTCTAGTGATTTGCTGTCCCTGTCCATCACTGGTATGCAGTTTAGCCTTAGAATCCCTCATAAAAACCCTCACTTCTTTAACGCATAATCATATGATCTTTCTGAGTCACTTCATACTTAAGGCCCAGTTCTGCAATCTTACACTGAGATTTACTTATGAGTAGCCTCACTGAATTCAATGAGACACATCACAACATTAACTGCTACTTAGGGCAGGTCTATGCTGAAAAGTTAAGTTGACCCAACTATATCACTCAGGGGTGTGAAAAATCCGGCCTGTATAGACAGTGCTAGGTTGATAGAATTCTGTTGACCTAGCTACCACCTCTAAGGGAGATGGATTAACTACAGCAACTGGAGAACCCCCTCCAGCTGCTGTAGTGGGTGTCTATGCTGAAGCACTACCCCAGCGCAGATGGAGTTCTGCAGCTGTGCTGCTGTAGTGTTTTAAATGTAGACATATGTGAGTTCTGAGTTCTTCCTCTTCCACACGGCTACTTAATCAGCAGTTCTTCACCCTTTTCACTTTAGCTTTCATATAAACATCTGCCAAAAGATTAGCAAAATGAAATATTTTAAATTAGAGCAAATAAAAACGAATGGGTTTCCTGAACATTCTGAACCATTGCCAAGTTAATATCAGCCTGTTCATGCTGAGTGAGTGCCATATCTGTATGAGTAACCAGTCATATTGTTAAATAGAGAACATAGGGTGCATCTGTAACACCGACACACCCTGGTCATCAGTGGGCGGGATTGAACCTGGGGCCTTTGGAGCTTAGTGCACGAGCCTCTACCGCATAAGCTAAAAGCCAGAACACCACACCCAGCAGGCATGTGGGTTACACATAGGTCACTACCAAGGAAAGTCCTTCAGAACATTGCTGATAAAGTTACTGGGCGGAGTAGCATTCACTCATCCTCCAAACACACATGCGACTAACTTCATAAATGAGAGTAGTTCCAATTGACTTCAATGCAGCTACTCATGAGCTTGTCAATATATTATATGATGGTTTATTATGACAAAAGCCTGTGTTCATTTTCTCTGTAGTTTTAATAAGTTAAATGTGTTTTCAGGATCAGACCCATATTCTTATATACATTCAAACAGAATAAATTGTTTTTAGAGAGAGATGAGCCTATGCACACAAACTTGGATGCAGAACCATACTATGGCTAAATACAGGAGTGTTTGGATCTGCTCATGATAGAGCAAGAACCTAGTTGTAGAATTCAGATCCATATTCAACTAATTGAAGACTAAGGTTATTTGGGACCAGGGTCTTAGGTGGGGCTGATCTCTAATTCTAAGAATAAATAATTTACAATTGAATAAGGACAAAAGCTGGTACAATGACTTGTACACATGATTTTGCTTTGCAACTGTTGGCATTATTAAACCAGCTTGAATAAGAACTTTGGGATTTGGGCAGGGCCAGCTCTAGGTTTTTTGCTGCCCCAAGCAAAAAAATTTGTGGCTGCCTCCCACCCCAGCCCTGGGCTCTCACCTCCCTCACCAGTGCCCTCCCCCACCTGCACCCCCTGCCGCCCCAGCGCTGGGCTCTCTCTCCTCCCCTCTGACCTGAACCCCCTGCCGCCCCAGCCCTGGGCTCCCCCCACCAATGTTGACTCTGCCCGCTCCCCCCTTGCCTCCAGCCAGTCCGGCGCTGGCAGGGTCGGGATAAGCAGCGGGACTCCTGGGCTGCACCGCAGCCCAGGGTCCTCCCAGCCAGGGCTCCCGCCTCCAGGACTGGCCGGGACCTGGGAGGGCAGAGCCGGGGGACCGCCCTGGCAGGGGGCTGAGGAGCCGGGGCAGGGTAGCCCTAGAGGGCATGGAGCCCCGGAGAGCAGGACGTGGGCCCCGCATGGCAGCGCCCCGCCCTCTATGGCTCCGCTGCTGCTGCTGCTGGCCGCCCTGCTGCAGTCCCTGGGCGGCTCGGGCCGCTTCGCCCAGCCCCGGCTGCGGTGCTGGGGGTGGCCACCCTGCGGCACCTGCACGCAGCTCCGTGTGCCCTGAGGGGCGGCCCCCAGCCCGAGTGTCCCCCACTCGGAGTCTGCCCGGCCCAGCCACAAGGTGTGGATGCTGCTTCCCTGCGGCGTGAACTGCAGCAGCCCCAGGGTGCCCTCGGCACAGGACGCACTGCTGCTGCCAGGGCCGGCCCGAAGCAAAAAAAAGTGGCCTGAATGCCACCCGTGAAAATGTGCCGCCCCAAGCACGTGCTTGGTTTGCTGGTGCCTAGGGCTGGCCCTGGATTTGGCCCTAAAACCCACAATATTGAAGATGTTGAAGTTTCTGGAATTGCATCCCACTTGTTTGCCTAAAACTTCAGGGAATTCAGAGTTGTATGATATTCAACTCAGCCTCCATGTGAGTCAGCTCTTCCAAGTATACAAGTCACCTTTAATGCATCTTGTCTTCAATTTAGCAGTGTCCTTTCAAAAATGAAATGTGAACTATAACCCTTCAAGAGAAGAATCTAAACAAATATATTCATTGGCTCTGTAACTATATTTTGGCTGCTTGACTTAGCTGTTTGTCAATTTTTATCAGCCTTACAGTGTGTCAGGTTGGGAGTTTCTGTATATGTATACAAACATATATCTGGGCCCAGGACCGGATTAACACAAGGGCTGCAGCCCAGGACCTTTGATTTTGATGCCCCCCTCACAAATATATATATATATATCAATTACTCAGCTAATTAAAGACATAGCACCACTATGTTTTACTATCAGTTATGTGCCAAAATTAAAATGTCTGTTGAACTTTAATTCAGCTTTACAATTGGTATATCACTTTCTTAAAAACCAGAACTGAAATAAAGGTAATTTAGAGTGGAGTGTTTGGTACCAGGCACGGATGGTGGCAAAACAATAAAGGGAAGGAACTGAATATGCAAAAAGGGGGCCCCCCATCAAACTTCATCTAGCCCTGACATTTTAAGTACATTCCTGTTAACCAAAATCCACTGGGACATTTAACATGCCCATGTCACTTAATAAACACATTTTTAAGATCTAGATTCTTCTGTCAGTTTCTGTGTAGATTTCCCTGTCTTTCTGTTCACTTACCTATTAGTTATTATGGTGATGGATACTGCTGCAGAAAACTGCTAACTGCTTCCCAGTTAAGATTTGGTTTGCAGGGCAAGGTCCCTACATTGATGTCATACAATTCTGTTCTTCTCCATTTCCATATAAAGGATGGAGGCTCCTCTGCTTGGTATATATACTTTCTATTTCTTTGTTACTCTCCCTCTCCTCCATCCTTTTTTCTCCCTACCCCATTAATCTGGTTTTATTGGAGAAGCTTTGTCAAAGAGTGTTTTGGAATGTGCCCTGAAACTGAGATTCTGGATTAGCCTGATTTCCTCTGCAAACTTGTTTGACAGTTCAACCCCTTGGACCAATGATGCTTTGTTTCCACGTCTCTCAGAGCTTCATTCTGAATTGTATTGCCCCTGAGAAGCATAGCTTTCTTGGTACATTGTAGATGATGCAGTGAATGAGGACCCAGCTACAACACTACTGGGGGAGAGGCTTTCAGTGGAATGGGAGGACAATGACTCAGCTGGTTCTTCAAAGAGTTTTCCCTCTTTCAAACACCACTTTATTTTTGCCCAGGTTGAGTTTGAATCAAATGTTTTTATTCCAGTTGCTGAACACCTCTAGGCACTGTGGTATCCTTGTGGTGGTGATGGCTGCAGCTGTGGAGAAGGAGATATTCAAAACTTTTAACTAAACAAGTGGAAGCGTGGGAGTGGTCCTGCTATTGTGGGGAACTTTCCTGGCTTATACACTACCCCGGTGGAATGGGCTAGCGAAAGGATCTGAGTCCTCGCTCCCACTTCCTTTACCCCAGTCCTGCCTGATCTCAAGGGCTCCCCTTCCACTCTTCTGTGTGGGAGAGTCCTCATAACCCCAACAAGGCTGGGCCCAGGATTCCTGGGGGGCTTGATCCCCAATCTTGTTGTGGTCACTTAGGGCAGAGGCTAGGGTGTCCCCACTCTGGGGTGCGCTCGCTGCACTGGATGCTTCCCTGACCCACTGATCATTACATACAATTCAAAGCGAATACAATTTATTAAACAGCAATCAATTTTTAAAAATAAGGAAAAAATGAGAGAGGTTAAAGGAAAACTCATAACCCCGCTCTGTGGCATGCGGAAACCACAAGCAGAGTCTCTGGAATGTAAGGGAAGTTAAGTCTGTTCCTCACAAGTCCCAGGCCGCTTCCTCAGGCCCTGGCTGTCCTGCAGGGATGCTGCGGGTCAGAGACTTGGTGGACACATGCCCTCAGGCTTTAGGTGGCAGGACCCTTCTTCTCAACGTTGCCCCCGACCCGCCGGGGTTACGATCCCCGTCCAAGTCTGTCCTGCAAGGCTTCTTGCTTGGGGGCATCTCCCTGCGCTGGGCCTACTGCCCAGGGTCCCCCCTCGCTCTCCCCAGCTGCTCACTGTACCTGGCTCTGGACTGCTCCAGCTCCACTCTCCCTCAGTGCTGCTGCTGCTCTGCCTCCAGCTCCCTGGCCTGCTTCTCTGGCCCCTCTGGCTCCGGTTGCTGCAGCTCTCCTCCCTGGGCTGCTTCTGTGACTCTGCTCCCAGCACTGACCTGCTTCCTGGGCTGCTTTTCTGGCCCCTCTGGCTGGCACAGCTCTGCTCTCCAGCTCAGTTTGGGCCCCTGCTCTCTCCTTAGCTCGACCCCACTCTGTCTGACCCAGGCAATTCCAGCTCACACGGAGGATGGGACCCCCCTGGCCTCCGACTAGCCTGCCCACCCTGTCAATCCAGTTGACCTGGAGCATTGGCCTATCCCCATTGTTCCTGGGGACTGTCAGTCTCAGGGTCCTGATTTCCTATTGACCCTTCCCCTTTCTTCACCTCTAGGGTGACCAGATGTCCCAATTTTATAGGGACAGTCCCGATTTTGGGGTCTTTTTCTTATATAAAATCCTATTTCCCCCCACCCCCGTCCCGATTTTTCAAATTTGCTGTCTGGTCACCCTACCGCCCACTGAGTTTTAGTAAGGGAACAACAGTCCCCATACACAAGTAATCAAACCGTGGAGCTCATTACTACAAGATGTCATTGTGGCCAAGATCCAAAGACTGATTGGATACTTACATTGATAACAAGAATATCCAGAATTATTATAGCTAATGCCAACAGAATATCAGAAGGGATATAAAACCTCATGCCTCAGGTTTTACATCAATCTTTAACTATTAGTGATTAGGATGAAACCTTCATTTTTCTTGATCTTCTTCTGCAGTATCTGGTGCTGGCTATTGTCAGAGACAGGACAATGGACAAGATGGACTATGGATCTAGTATGGCAACTGCTATGTAAAGCCCTGCATCTCTTCTCTACAATAGGGAAATTTCTCACTGTTGCTAGCAGTGGTTTGGCTCCCAAAGTGTTAGGGCTCCCAATATTGCTAGCACAGATGGGCTGCAGGGCTGCTGCTGGCATTTTAAACATCATGTCATTCAACGCTGAACAGAATAGGACTAACTGACATGATACTTAAAATGCCACTGCCACCAATGGTGTCACACTTCTAGATATGCTACCCTGTTCACTTCCTTCAGCTAATCAGCAGCAGTTACCCTCCTAAGTTATCAAGACCCCATTCTGAATTGCTCCATAAATCTCAGAATTCAAGCCCTTCCTACAACCTTGCTCTGGGTTACTTCATCAATAACTCCTACATTTACCTGACTTTCCACACCCCGCAAATAACCGCTCCATGAATGATTCCAGGCCCCCTATTACAGTAACTCCTCACTTAACGTTGTAGTTATGTTCCTGAAAAATGTGACTTTAAGCATAATGATATTAAGCGAATCCAATTTCCCCATAAGAATTAATGTAAATGGGGAGGCGGGGGGCGCTAGGTTCCAGGGAAATGTTTTTCACCAGACAAAAGACTATATTATATATATATATGTATACACAGTGTAAGTTTTAAACAATTCAATACTGTACACAGCAATGATGATTGGTTGAAGTGATGGAGGCAGAGGGTGGGATATTTCCCAGGGAATACCTTATTGCTAAATGATGAACTAGAACTTGGCTGAGCCGTCAAGAGTTAATACATTGTTGTTAATGTAGCCTCATACTCTACAAGACAGCACGAATGGAGGGAGGGGAGATAGCATGGCAAACAAGAGACAGAAACACACACCCTATGGGTGTGTAAGAGGCAGATGCGCATTGTCCCTTTAAGGATGCTGAACCACTCTAAGTAGATTGCCTTTTTAAGTAGACCAGGAAGTTGAGACAGCAGCTGCTGCCAGCACGCTCCCTCCGTCCTGAGCCCTGTCATGTCCCCCCCCCATGCTCTATGCAGATAGTGTAAGCGGGGGGCAGGAGCACACCATGATATTAGCTAGGGTTACCATACGTCCGGTTTTTCCCGGACATGTCCGGCTTTTCAGCAATCAAACCCCCGTCCGGGGGGAACTGCCAAAAAGCCGAACATGTCTGGGAAAATGCCGGCTGGGCACTTCCCCTCCCGCGGCGGCTCTGCTCCTCCCCGGACTCTTCGGCTCTGTTTAAGAGCCGAGCTGCCCGAGCGCTACCGGCTTCAGGCAGCCCCCTTACCTCCGGACCCCAGCCGCCAGCCGGGCACTTCCCCTCCCAGGCTCCGGCAGCGCAGGGTCCAGAGGCATGGGGGCTGCCCGAGCCGGTAGCGCTCGGGCAGCCCGGCTCTTAACAGAGCCAAAG